TGCATAGTGTGTGTGCTTTTGCACCACCTATTGTAAGTAGATTTTATAGTAAAAGCCTAGCGCTAGTAATTTGACTTCCTGTACTAGTTGTCTGCCAGTGGTAGAACTGCACCAGAGATCGAAGTCTCTAAAATTTTCTTCGCTGATTGAGATAGTTAAGATCATGAATTTATTTCTTTGCTTAATATACTAGTAACGAATATTGGTGCTGGCAAAATGTTAAACATTAGATACCTATAAACTATGGGCATATAAAAGTTCTCTGTATGTAAACCTGAATATATTATTATCCTTACGAACAGGAGGTATTTATCATTATACCAAGATATTTATGAATTTGTTAATTACAAAATATATCATATCCAAATTTGTATATAAATATTATAATTCTATATATATAAGTGGAACGGAATTTAAGTGGATACCGATACAGAATTTTTAATTAAAATTTCAAATTTAATGACCAGAATAGGTTAAGGTTAGGGTTAGGGTTCATATTAGGGTTAGACTAGAGGATATAGATTATATAGAATAATTCTAAATCTACAGAAATTCCATTTCCACTTACAATATATATATGCTAGATGCTATAAAAAAAAAAAAATTAACAAATTTTTCAAAGAAATTTTAATAGCATAAGTCAATTTAGAATAGTATTAGAGTTATTTTTTAATTTTAAAAATCATCATGATTACATAATACTGTAGCAATAGGTTATTTTTTATATTGGCTTTTAATCAATGACTAAGATATTAATCAACATAACTTAAGAAACTACAGTATCAAATCATCATTTGTATTACCATTTATATTACCATTATTAAATTTTTAATCAAAGAACTCATGCGATTATAATACATTGATAAATGATATATTAATACTTTGATACTACATTAATTTTTCACCTTCTTCTCTTTTACTATCGCACAGCTAAAATAATGATGGACATTATAGAAAATAAAAAGAAAATTATTAAAAATTTGATTCATCATATATGAAAAGCTACTACAGGAAGAGTTAGAGAAATTATTTTCAATGATATATCACATTCAGCAACCATTTTCTTAAGTGATGGCACTAATAATAATGAAAATTTGGACATACCTAAAGTGGTTCTAATTTCTGAAGAAACTTATCAAAAAATAATTAATGATTTAGCTAACTTAAATGAGAAAAAATCTATTATTATTGAAGATGTAGGATGTTAAAATATTTATTGTCACAGATTATTATGAAATTTGGGGCTTCTATTTAACCCTAAAACCTACTTGTTTTTCTACATTATGCAAGTTTCATTTTAATCTGATTTCGTTAAATCTGCCAACATTTATCGTCGTAGATAAAAAACTTATCATCATCCACGACATTTATTAATCAAATGAATATTAAGATAATTTTAAAATAAAAATTAGGATCTAGATGATAGATCATCGCATGTTGATGAGTTAATGTTTGATGCTCAAACAAATGAGAACGATGAAAACGATACATTAAATTTTGAAGATGACCAATGGACTGAAGATAGTTATATAAATGATCATTTTAAAATTTTAAAAAGAGAGGAGAAAAATCAAGTAAGAGTATCAAATGTTGTTGAAAAATAAAATGTTTTAATGCTGTATCTATTTTTTTTTTT